TTAATTGTCTTAATGTCATTAAATTTATCTCAAGAATCCCAAATTTAATACTTATGTTATTAAAGTCATACATATTCTCCTTCATCTTATTAAAAGTATCAATTTATAATAACATATGGATAAACGCTCTAAAAGTTGCAGTTTAGCTGAAAAAACAAAAAGAATCTATTTATTTTCTTATGCTTATATTATAAATAAGTAGGGCCGGCCCAATATATGTGTCATATGGGCCTTAGCCCAGGATAACATAATATTAGAGGGCATCAGTTTATAAGCACATATATACAGTATATATATATTTGACTTAAAAAATTTAGCCCAAAATCCAGTGAAACGAGCTGCCAGCGCCGCACATTAGTTCCATCCTTGTCGTCATCACCAAATTTGTAAGCAGTAACCCAAATCATCAAAATTCAATATCTACCAAATCATCCCCAAAGTCAAAGAAGAAAAAGCAACCTAAATTCCTAAATTTTCGGGATTTAACTTCACCAAATAACGAAGAAAATCAATAAGAGGACAAGCAGGATTCGATGGAAAAAAATAGAAAATGGGAACCATTTCGAGCACATAAAGGGGAAGAAAGAGGATTTGAAAAAACCACTCAAGAAAAGAAGGATCATTAGCAAGAGAAATACAAGAAAAAGAAGTGAGCAAAGGCAACTATTCGATTAAAAATTCTCATCATATTCGAAATACTTGTAACAGAGAGGGGAGGGTTTATTTTTTCTTTGAAAGGAAAACAATTGTAACAGTGAGAAGCGAAAGTCTTGTTTACCTGTTAATCGCTGGTTATTGGAGGATCGTTGGAGTCTTCATCGGAAAGACTTACGGTTTTCAAAGGGTAAGAGATAGAAAGAAGCTCGGTTTAGGTTCGGAAGTCTCGTTTGTTTGATCCAAAATGGTTTTGTTTATTTTAATATAGAAGTTTTGTCTTTTAATAATTCAAAGGGCGATATGAAATTTTGCATTCCCGACTGGCTTTGATTTTTTTAATATATATTTATTTTACTAAAATAAACCTGAGCTGGGTGGGTTGATAGTCAATAATCAAATTAAATTGAAACTTAAAGAACCAGTGAAGGGGTTCCACCGCTTCAACTTACTCATTTTTTGCATGTTTAGTCGGCACACTCATTTCTTTCATGTTTAGTCGGCAAACTTAGCATATTTAGTTTTTTTTGGGTAAATTAAATTTTAGTCACTAAAGTCGAAGGGTAAATTAGTTTATAGTCCCCAAAACTTAGGTGTCTTTTTGTAAATTAGTTTGATGAAAAAACACAGTGGCTAAATATTGAGTTTACGGACTTGTTTAATTGTTTGAATTTTGATTGTGTAGTGGCAAATTTAGTTTGATGAAAAAAACAGTGGCTAAATATTTTCGTTCAAGATATTTTTTAGAGTGAATCCTTCTGATTATTTTGATTTCATCATTAATTTTCCAGATCAGTTGATTGTGAGAAAGAACAAGTCAACAATATAAACTTCGGTCACTGGTCAGGTTGTATCTTTCCTTGCTAATATATTTGTTTTATTGTTTACTTGATACTATATTTGTTTTATTGATTACTTTTAAATATGTTACCTCGAAAACAACCATCGGGTGCCCAAAATAGAAAACGAAAAAAACAAGAACAAGAAATGGCTAATTCTTTACATGGGTCTTTAGATAGATTTATTCTTAGACCGGTTAAACCTTCTAATAATCCGATTGGAAATTCTAATGATTCACCTAATACTTATAATAATCTTATTGGAAATTTCAATGATTCACCTAATACTTTTAATAATAATATTGGAAATTCCAATGATTCACCTAATGATTCGATTGATAATTCTAAAGATTGTGAGAATAATGAATTTGTTGATAAAGATAAATCAAGTGATTTTAATATTTTTGATCCTAGAGTGTGGGATGACTTAGATTCAAAAATGAAAGATTTACTTATAGAAAAAGGGCCTAATAGAGAAATTGAACCTAATAAATTTTTTCCAAAAGATGCACATGGTAGACATTTTTCTTGTGATTTTTTTATTCGTAAATTAAGAAATGGTGGTTGTTGTGATAGAAAATGGTTAGTGTATTCAAAAGAACTTGATAAAGTTTTTTTCTTTTGTTGTAAGTTATTTAAAACCTCTCGGACTAAATGTAATTTGGCAATTGAAGGAATAAATGATTGGAGACATCTAGGTGAAACATTAAAACAACATGAAAATAGTTCCGATCATATGATTAATTTAAGAACTTGGACTGAAACACTAATTAGGTTAAATAAAAATGAAACAATTGATAAAGAGTTACAAGAAATGATAAAAAAAGATACTGAACATTGGAAAGAAGTGATGGTTAGAATTATTGATGTTGTGAAATGTTTAGCAAAAAATAATTTGGCTTTTCATGGAAAAAATGAAAAAATTTATGAAAATTCAAATGGTAATTTTTTAGGTATACTTGAAATGATTGCTGAGTTTGATCATGTGATGAAAGAACATTTTCGATTAATTCAAGACAAAGAAACACATAATCATTATCTTAGTCATAAAATTCAAAATGAATTAATCGAAATGTTGGCATCGGATGTAAAAAGTGCAATTATTAAAAAAATTAAAGATGCAAAATATTTTTCTATAATTCTTGATTGCACTCCGGATGCAAGTCACAAAGAACAAATGACTTTGATTATAAGATGTGTGGATGTGGCAAGTGTTCCAATAAAAGTAGAAGAATTTTTTTTAGTGTTTTTAATTGTAGAAGAAACATCCGGTCTAAAACTTTTTAATATTTTACAAGATGCTCTAAAATCTCTTGATTTGGATATTAATTATGTTCGTGGTCAAGGGTATGATAATGGAGCTAATATGAAAGGAAAACAAAATGGTGTACAAAAACGGTTACTTGATATAAATCGTAGAGCTTTTTATATGCCTTGTGGGTGTCATAGTTTAAATTTAGTTTTGTGTGATATGGCAAATTTTTGCCACAAGGCAAAAAAAATTTTGGTACATTTCAAACAATTTATAATATTTTTTCTAGTTCCACAAAAAGATGGAGTGTTTTACTTGAATTTATAAATGAACTAACACTTAAATCATTATCCGCTACTAGTTGGGAAAGTCATATTGAAAGTGTTAAAGCAATAAAAACTCAATTCTCTCAAATAAGAGAAGCTTTAATAAGATTAGCCGAAATTAGTGATGATGGAAAAGTGTGTCGAGATGCTGAATCACTAGTAAATGGTGAACTTTCTAGCTTTGAATTTATTTTAAGTTTAGTTATATGGCATGAAATTTTGTTTAGAATTAATTTAGTTAGTAAGAAATTACAATCCAAATATATGCTTCTTGATGTTGCGGTTAAAAACTTAGAGGGATTAATTAATTACTTTGAAGAATATAGGGAAATTGGGTTTGACAATGCTATTAATGAAGCTAAAGAAATAACATATAATATTGGGGTTGAATCTCAATTTCCTAAAAAACGTATTTCTTATAGAAAAAAACAATTTGATGAAATTCCAAATACCGAAAGAGAACAACAATCTTCTCAAGAAGCATTTCGAAAAGATTACTTTATTATTTTTGTAGATATGGCTCTTGTTCAATTGAAAAGTAGATTTGAACAAATGCAACATTTCGAGTCTATATTTGGTTTTTTGTTTGATGGTTTAAAATTAATTTCATTACTTGATGACGAACTAAAAAAATGTTGTTTAAATCTTGAGTCTAATTTGACAAATGGTGAAGAATTTGATATTGATGGAAAAGATTTATTTATAGAGTTACAAATTTTACAGAAAATGTTGCCGGATGAAGCACACAAAGATGAAAGTCCATGGACATCTATTCAAATAATGGAATTTGCAAGAAGAATGGATATGTTCCCTAATGTGTTGATAGCATATAAAATTTTGTTGGCAGTACCGGTTACAGTTGTTTCCGCGGAAAGAAGTTTTTCAAAATTGAAGCTCTTGAAATTCTATCTTCGAAGAACAATGACTCAAGATAGATTGAACGGATTAGCAATTCTAAGCATCGAATGTCAATTTTTACAAAGTCTTAATTATTGTAAAATAATAGAGGTTTTTGCTTCAAAAAATGTACGAAGACATCATTTTAGGTGATATTTGTAGCCTTTAGGTTTTGGTTTGTATTAGTATTGTTATTATTTGACTATAATTTCTATTACATTTTTGTTTTAAAAAAATTGTGTTTTGTCTATTATACGGTACAAGTATAGGAGCATAAAATTATTATCTCACCCAGGGCATTAAAACTCATTGGACCGGCCCTGGGCAGTCTTTTGTTTTTTAACATCCCACATGCAAATTGGTAGAACTGATAATGTTTAGGACCATTCACAAGATATCCAAAAGGTGTCAGATTAGAAGCAGGATAAGTAATTCCAATTACGAGTTCTGTCAGGAAACACACTGAAGATACTTGATACTTGATAAGCAGTTAGGCAAACATATTGGTTGCCAATTCTCGATAGGAAATAGAAAAATGAAAAATTGATGGACCACAGAAAAAAAAAGCCACTTGAAGGGTTCTTATTCCCCACTTTTGCTGGATTATATTCCAAGGATCCACAAGGTGACGTTAGTTATCAACGTTTAAGGACTTTGGAAATGGCAGTGTATGATTTAAGAATTTTTGTGGGTTTGCAGTGAAAATAGGATATACTTACTTGGTGGATATCCCAAGGCCACCTTAGATGATTCTCAAAATCACTTTTCTTTAAACACAAAATTATTAGGTTATTTATCACAAAAATGAATGAAAGCTGCATTGTTAGGAATGCCAAATTCATGCTTATAACATGGTATTTCATTTCTGGTGACTGAAGTGTTAATAGATAACTTGAAAATATTGATAAGTGAATACGCTGTAAATACTCATATAAACGTGGATTTGGATTGAGCTGATGATTATCGGGTTCTGTGCTAAGTGGTACAGAGTAACTAACACGTTACCATTAGGATATGGTAAACTGATATAACTCACTGCTTCAGTTGCTGCTCCCACTTGGATATGGATAAGGGTACCGGCCAGACTCGATGTCTTTGACATCCCTGACTAGGATCTCATAGTGCTGCTTGACTTCCTCAGCAGACTTTCCGCCCACAGCCTTAGCAATATTAATCCAGCGGTCTGGAGTGTCCTGGTCATATTTAGCCAGAGCCTTCTCGAACATTTTGTTTTGCTTAGGTGTCCAGGAGGAACTAGAGCTACGTGAGGAAGTGAGAGAATTGGATACCATTTATAAAAATCTTAATGCAGCAACTGAAAACAAAGGGTTTATAAGCTCTGGTGAATGGCAGGCTGAAACTTAAAGAAATATGCTTGCGACTGAAATTTAGAGGGAGGGTGAATAAATTGAAACTTGCAATGATGATGGAAGGAAAAAGATGGGTTTTTTCTCTCAGAGGTTTACTTCAAGAGAGGGTGTCTAAGAGATATCATGATAGAAACTCCTTATAAACTGGAGGAAAAGCTTAGTGGGGTTGAGCAAGTTGGGTGAATATATCCTCTAAAAGGGCAGAGTACAATGTGACCCGTCCCCTTAGGAACCACAAGATGGAGCAGCACAAGGAACAAGAAGTAAAAGAGAAGAATCAGAATCAAATGACACTACTGTTTTTTTTTTAACCAAACCGTATTCCTTGATTAGGCCCGGGGCAAGTGAGATTTGCATTGGTAGTACTAGTCAGTGAAAAAAAAATCAGATGTAGATGCTATTAGTTGTACAAAAATCATCCTCTGTTATGTTCTAATGATCATTCAATCAACAAACCATTGGTTGCATTATTAACTAAAGTTAATGTAGTTTATTTCTTTTAATACGGAAGGGATCATTGGTTGCATTGGTAGGACTGAAGTACTAGTAGCTTAGAGTTTTTCTTGACGGATGCAATAATTTACTTTGATATATATCCTTTTTGAAAACAAATAAAAATTTGTGTCTCAAAGACGTGAAGGATTTTCAAGTCTTAGTTGGTCCTTGCTTATGGTTATAGCTTTTGTACAGAAACACAACTTATTGCCTTATTATTCAGTCAAAAATCAGTCAGCCAACTTGTATGACTCCCTTAGTAGTACTTGCCTACTTGGCATTGTTACATGATTGTGTGGACTAATACGAGTAAGAATTCCTGCAGAACTATCTGCAACCAATAAAGGCAAATTATCCTTATTTCCTGATTGAGGTGGTGGTATAGCTGTATAATTTTTTGCAGCTCTAAAGCTGTATATGGGTAATTTCATTACGCCACCAGATCCCAGTAAGATGGCAATATGTATGTAGTTTTCTTTTTGGATAAGGGGAAATAAGTATCACTTTGTTATGAATAATCATTTTCCCTCTACTTTTTGCTCTCCCTCCCTCCCCCCTTTTGGGCTGGCTGGGGGCAGGAGAAGTGTTAGCTAGGATGGGCAACTATCTTTAGCAATCTCTCAATGTGATTTTGACATCCACTTTTGTTTGGACTGAAGCTATGAAATTCAATATGCTTTTCACTTTGTTCCAAATGAAAATTGAAAACCTTCAGGTATCTGCCAAAGTTATGATGAATTTCTTGCGAAGGAAAGACAGTGGTTTTACCTGCTTATTGAACCGTAGAGGGTTCAGTTTTTAAGGAAAAGACATGGAGTTCGAAGCAAACCTAAAGATGCAGGTTGAACTTTTCGCGCTTTCAGTTAAACACACAAAGCATTATTGTTTAATGTGCTAATTAATGGTCTTTCTGCTCAGCTAAGTAAGTGCAAATCTTAACTACCCATTCTGGTTGCACCATAGGGAGCTAAGGCACAATATATGCAGTTATTCTCTCTTGAAATTAGAGAAGAAATAGGGCCATAAGGCCATCACCTACCAACTGAGTGAGCGCTTCCATGGGAGTTGTCATGATCATGGAAGCAGTAGAAAATAGGTCCAAAACACTAGTTAATTGAGTCATATGTACATTGAAAGAGAGTTGATTCCATCTTGGAAATACCATGGTTATTCACATTGGTCAGCTAGGCAACCATCTATTAATAATGTATAAATCACAAATTGCACAGTTTCAGGCAGATCAACCTTACAAGTTATATCAGCTTTAGAAAATGACTCCAATTCTTACTAGCATGTACTAAGATTTGGGACAATATTGAACCATTCTGCTAGCTTGTCTAGAGAAATCACTCTAGCCTAATCGCATCAGGTTCTGTAACATGTGTCCGTCTTTTTTATCTTTTTATTTCCACAATGAAACATAACTGCATATGGATAAAAAGGTATGAAATCATCTGATGTAAGTAACACTTAAAAGTTCACAACCTTAAAGCAAGGCTAGGCTGGCAAATGGTATCAAGGGGATGGCTTATAATTGTGGTCCCTTCTTTTTTCCTTTTCCTTTTTGAATCTGTGCAGGTTGTAGTTCTGCATGTTAAATAATCAAGGTCAACAGTGACAGAAAAATGAAGTCTGTAAATGGGATTCCTAATGGACTGCTACCAAATCTTGGAAGATCTTCTTGCTACGATTCTCATCATTTGATGCTTTTTTTTACCGTTTTCCCTCTATGATAAACAGATTCTGACAATCGTTTCTTCCACTTTCTATTATTCCAATTAAGATATTGACTATATTCTTACTGAAATGTAAATTGCCTTGAAATGTGAGGCGTATAGAATCGCAAACAAAATATCTTGGCAGTAGCCAGAACCTTGTTGCCGACTGTGTAAGCTGTGATGGACTGGCCTTTTGGAAGTGGGACTGTGATCATGTGTATGTTTCATTGCTAGAATATCGAATTTACTTCCTGACAAAAGGAGAAAGGTACGGAAAATTTTATTTGTCTTTTTGTATTCTTTCGTAGCTATATGCTTTCTTGTTTAAAATTATATTATAAGCAGACATATGCCTGATTGTCTTTACCTCTATTATACTTGGGCTTAGCTTTGGTTTCTCACTATATAACCCTGGATCAGGGTTTCAAATCGCGGTCGCGTTTTCGGTTATTTCGGATTTACCGTGATTGCGGCCGTCGCGGGCGCTGTTACGGCTGTCGTGGACGCTATTGCGGCCGTCGCGGGTAACTCGAACGACGGCGAAACCGCTATATCTCGGCCGAAATCGCTATCGCGGATCGTTTTTTAAAACCCTGCCCTGGATGCCTCACCGTTAATTGGATCTTTTCACTCTCATTTGACCAATATTTCCTTCTTTCTATATTGACAAGTGGCGATACGTTATGAGCAATGTGGAGCGAAAATGCACTTGTATTGTTTTACCACATCTTGCTAAAATTTGGAATTCTTATCACCATATTTTTTTGTTCCAGAGTAACAAGGCTTGTTCTCATTTCATGGTTGCTGAACTCTAAAATATTTACCTAAAGAAGGGACAAATTGTGAAATGATGCCTAGCTAGATAGCTAACCTTTCTGATTCCCTTGTGGTTGGATTCTATATCCAAAGAACAGCAATGTCCTGGTTGTATAATATTTGGTTTTGTAATCTTGTTAATGGGTCAAGCAAGAAATAAAGCTTAACCTTCCAGGCAGGGATGGACCGAGGGGAGGCTAACAGGGGCCGTCATCCCTCCCTTAAATTTTCAAATTCTTATATAATTTAGGTATTTTCTTTGTATAATCTATTTTTATCCCCTCCTAATTTTATAAGCTTGCCTCTAATATAAAATCATGCGTCCGTCCCTGCTTACGGGGTGAGGTTAATGAAAGTAAATCCATTATTTTTTCCTGGTGTACTTCTGCTAACATAAGCATGGTACAATACTTTTTTAGGGAATCTTTGCACAAAAGAACAAAGGGTTCTGGAAAATGTTAATGACGAGTGAACCTGATTGAGGGAGCAAAGTATCTTTCAATTAGCTTCCTTTGCTTCACAAAGGTTATATAAAAAGCATAGACGTGTAGTAATAGGGTTCATGCACCAATCAACAATGTGTGCATGCATGTTAGACATTTGTCTATGTTAAAACTTAGGAACCAAGGACTTGTAAGGTGATATATCGATAATGGATCTGTGGCCTGGATCAGTTGGATAAGATATTGAAGCAATTATTGTGAGGAGGTTGAGAGACAATACTTATTGTATTGTCATCAAGACCATGATAAAAACCCAACTGGCAGCAGTACTTTTCCGTCACTTATTTCTTGTTTGCGTCTCTGGAGATGTACTTCCGTTTTTGTGCCTGTGGGCTTGATACCCTTTTGGGTCTCTGTAGGTGTCTTTAAGCAGCAACAGTCATTTGGGCGAGCTAGGTCCAGCAGTTCCCTTGTTTCATTTCTCATAGTGGCCTAGCTTTGCCTTTCATTTCCCATTGAGGCAAAGCAGCTTGTAACTTAAACTATCAAATAAAAACTACAGATCAAAAGGGTAGATCAGCTTATTTTTAACGTATTTTTTATCATTTATTCGGTGAGTCTGAGAAGGGGAATTATCGTCAATGTGAAGTTGTGAGTTTCATTTTATTCGGGTTGCCATTTTTCACGTTAATTTATATATACATCTTGGAGGCTGTTTCTGATCGTACCATAAATATAGAGCATATTATCTTATTTTTGGAACATGTAAATCTGAATGTCAATATAACTAAAATAAAGACTTGGCACAATATATATCAGTGTCTTGTTAGCATTGCAAAATCCTAATAGGGAAAAGGACCCGAAACCATTTATAATGGCTTAAAATTAAGATAGCAAAAGGACAGAAAAGCTAAAACGACTGAAGTAAATGAGGATGAGATGAGAGCATATTCTTTTGGTTTTGTAAGGCTTGCAAAATGCACTTCGGCTTAGCTTCTTATAGTTGCCTCAATAGTGTTAACTAAACCTATAAATAATTTTAATTTTTTTATTAAATTGAGGTGATTATAAGGTAGTATTTGTTCTAAAGATTCTAAACTATTTGAAAATGAACATTCAAACATCTCTACAGAGACTGGTGCTCGAACTTGGGATCTCTAAGAATAATAACTATCCTTTTAACCATTTAGGTAATTTTGGTTCATGCATAAATAATTTCAATTTTCTCCGAGGAGCATGTACTAGCAAGGTCCATTACTTTTATTAAAGTGGCAACAAAAATGTATGTGCTAGGCATAGCGTGAAACCTGTAACCCCTTTCATTTCTCTTACCTTTGATTTATCACTTAATGAGAACTTTTGAATGAGAGAAAAAGAAAGAAGAAATTTGTCTTTAGGGGACGTTTGGTTCAGGGTATCTCATATTATCATAGGAATTGAATGTCATTCCCCCGTTTGGTTGGCAAACATTCTCAACCCCGGTAATAAGTTATTCCCAACAGTGGTATTTTAGGGGTATATTACCGGGAATGTAATTACCCCATTCCCTTAGGTATTGTTACATTCCAGGCGTTTTGGACTAAAATGCCCTTAATTTTTTTTCAAAAATA